TATCTTCTTTTTCTTTCGTTTCTATTATGAATATATATATATATATATATATATAAAAAGAAAGTTATGTTAAGAGTGACTATTTTTTTCCCGAGATAATAGAGAATTCTAACTGGTAACCAAACCAAACGTAGATTATTTATAATTATAAGTTGAATTTTATACATTGTCATTTGGTAAACATACTGAGACCGTGGTTTGTATTATTTTAACTGATTCTGAACTTCAATGGGCAGTGTAAAGTCCTGCCATGAACATCTAAGTCAATTACCAGCCAGTATCTACTTCATTGATTTTTTAATTCATTTAAATCTTGCAAAACTGACGTTTTTTTTCTCTTTCCATTTATATGGGGAAAATGTGTATTTTTAAAATACATTTTCAATTTTGTCGCTATTCTGAAAAAGCAACAAATTTAATTGTATGTGATTCCTTTGTAGTTTGTATAACGAGTAACGACGGACAAACGGGTAAGAAGATTATTTTATGTCTCTTGTGAATTTACGAAGTTTTGAGCTTAAATAAAACATTCTTTTGGAACATTTTGTATTAAATACTTCAGTTACCTAACCTACAAAATATATTATTGATGCAAGTGTTTATTTATACGCCTTTCTTACCAAAACTTGTTAGCCTCTGTACTATGTGCACAACTTATTATAAAACTACTAGGGTTAGAAAAAGTGACAGATTATAGATATTTCTTTAACTCAATTGTCCAAAGTAAAATGTAATTGTTTTTTTTTTGTAAGTAATTCATTTACAAAGTGATTATTAAACCATTCAGATGGAGAAAAGTACTAGGATTTTACACTTCTAAATTGTTGCTATTTCCAGACATATAAAAATGGTTGTTTTTTAATGAAGCTTTCGGTTCCTTGCCGATGCCTCTTACAGGCTGACAGCACGCGGCAATTCGGCTGAAGAACGATCACTACGATGGATTATATAACTGTAGAAGACTTCGACCAAGGAATCTAAACCTTGCAGTTGAAAACAAAATCAAAACTGTGCGTTTAAAATGTCTGAAAATTAGAAAAAATTAATAGCTCAAACCACATTATGAGTTTAAAAGTACATTTATGTTATGATGACGATGCTTTTTTTATAGTTGTTTACAATCAACTTCTGTAGATCATATTGACATTTTTGGTTGTGATGTACTGAGAATACTACCAATGTAAAGAAACTTGGTAAAATTAATATTACCTGGCTAAGCTTTACTATCTCAATCAAAGACTATAGAGTTTTGCATCATCGTCGTCATATATGTTGGCTGTGTTAGAACATTACTATAAAGTGTTATACTGAATCTTCATACAAACAACGATCTCAACCGGCATGGAGGTCGAAAATGTGTTATATAAGCGATGAAATGTTGATGCAAGTCATCAGGATATTTTTTTCTTATATGTCACCATAAACCTTCACTACGCGGAGACGTCAGTTTAAGTTAATGCTTTTCCCCTAATTTGTAGTCAGTACGTTGCAACGATTGCAAATAGACCTTTAAACTGGGAATGAGACCTGTCTTATATGGAGATTTCACACGTAACCAAAACCGGTTCGAGTTTTATGATGTCATCAAGAAAATTTTTGTTTTTTATACATAGATTTGTAAGGTAATTTCATCCAAGGAGTAATGTTTTATGTAACACATATCTAGCTGTGTAAATATATTAAAGGCTATAACAATATTAATAAGCTAAACTTAGAAAACAGAAATATCTTTTTGGAATAAAAAGGAATATATTTTTTTCAAGATGTATTTTTGGCACGTGTGTAATGTTCAATTTTGAAAACTAAAAATTTTTATTTAAAAACAACGATTATTTTATGCACAATTCAATAAAATGAGAATGTTTCCAGTCTCCAAATTATTAAAATAATACCTTACTGTACAAGATTAAAAAGTGATAAAATCCCCGACGTGACTGGAATAATCTTAATAACTTGGAAACTGATAACTTGAGCATATAATTTTAGATCAAAAAAGATATTTTGGTGTCATTTGATGTTGTGTTAATGTTCACCAAAGTGAAAAAGCTATTGAATGTTTTGAAAAAAAACTGAAAGAAAATAATAATTCAGTCTTAGAAATAATGGATATAATTAACCTGGTAGAAATGTGTGTTGAAAACTCATTTTCCCAAATTAATAGGAAAGTTTATAAACAGAACGAGGGTTTAGCTATGGGTTCTCCTTTATCTCCATTATTGTGTGATTTATTTATGGACAGTTTGAACGTGAAGCACTAGAAAAAGCAGATAAAAAAAACAACCTGAATTTTGGTACAGATATGTAGATATTTTTGATTTGGTGGTATGGTAAAGATCAACTAGCTAATTTTGCTGATTACCTTAATAACATTGATAATTCAATAAGATTTAATTATGAAGTTGAGATTAATGGTTGTTAACCATTTTTGGATAAATAAGAAACTACCATTTATCGTAATCATTCCGCCACATCAACAATCTTGTCACACTACATCTCAAAAAACCTGTGTTTTTTACTCTTATGTGGATAGGATATTAAAATTATGATGTAAACAGGATGATATCAATAATGAGTTATTATCAATTAAGCTCATAGCAGTGGAAAGAGGTTTAAATCCAGATGTTGTTGACAGAGCTGTG